TCAAGTGATTTTTAAAAATGATAATTATTTTATTTAACTTAGTTTCTTTGTTTTTAATTTGACCAGAGAGAGGCAGAGCAAGAGAGAAAGGGGAAGTGAGAAAGGAAGTTTCCAGGTCCGGGACTCGAACCATGGTCGGCCATGTGGGAGTCTAGCGTCCTCAACCACCATGTCTCTTGCTGGCCCCCTCAATTCTTTTTAAAAAAGTGTAAAAATTATAAAAAAATAAAACTTGGAGATTCTCAGTGATGACAGCCTGGATAAATATTTATATTTCCTCATCTTTATGAGACCTTAGCAAAATGACACTATAAGAATATTTTAAAAAGTAATTTGCCAGAAGGCATGTCCACTCACCGTGGAGAGAGAAAGGTGAGAGAGTAAGCACTCCCATAGGAGATAGTCATGCCATAATCCATCCTCTTCCATTTTTCACTCCTTTTGTGATTTGGGGCATGCATACGCACAGGTCTGGTATGTTTTTCAAGCTGCTGGGTCCAGGACTTGAACCACACAGTTGTAAGACCCAGCTACCTTAACCACCAAACCACCAGCTTGCCCACAGGATTTTTTTTTTTTAAAAAGGTATAAGCTCACAAAGACAAAGAACAACAGATAAGAAGATAATAGCAATACAAATTGGGGGAACTAGAAGGCAAATTGAGAGGTGATTAATGATTAAATGGCTCAGAAGAGCTGACTTTGAAGCTGACTGTGGGAAAAAGTGCAAAAGTCACTTGGTTTATAGCATGGAACCTCCATAGAAACCATGAGTTGGTAGCACCAAACAACTCTGGGCCTGAGGAAGAAATGGAGCTGAAGAGAAAGATGAGTCAGGAGTCTTCCTCTTTTAAAAATCTGTTATAGGGTGCGTGCACTTGTCAGAGAGAGACAGAGAGAGGGAAAGGAAGATGGCCATGCTACAATTCCTTCTCCATTATCCTCTTGGAACTCGGGGCATGAATGCACATGCACTCAGTGTGTTTTCCAAGCCACTGGGTAAGAGACTAGAACGACGTAGTTGGCTGTGTGAGATCCACCGTCTTAACCACTACGCCACCAGGTGGCCCCAGGAGACCCTTTAAGAATCAGTTAGAAGTGGTTCTTACTTTCCTCCTCCTACAGGGACCACTGTCCCTTCCCCGCTCTGGCAGAACTGGGGGTGTGTTCTCTAGAAGTGATAAAATAGAGGTTTTCTGGACCAGGTACAGTTGAGCCCATTGGCTCTTTCCCGCCATGGCAGGCTTGGCCCGTCTGCCCGTCATGGGTTGCTTTGGCTGTCGAGCCTGTGTCGTGTGGGGTGAGAGTCACTCCTCTCGGACCATCCCCAGCAGTGTGCACAGGCACCCCTACAGAGGACAGGGCTCTTACACAGTTGGTCTTGATTCCAAATGTGTTTCCAGCCTTGAATGAGTGTGGTTGGATCACAGAGTGTGAAGCCATAAGCTGGAATGTGGCCGGAAGAGCTGAAATGAGTCACTGCTGTGTCATGAGCCAGTTATGTCCTGAAATAGGTCCCACCACCATTCCTCAGTCTTCTTGTCCACGGAGTAGGGATAATGCCCTCCCGCCTCTGCAGGCTGTTGCAAGCCTTTGATGCTACCCAGTGAAGTGGGAATATCAGCCCAGATGCCCACACCGCCTGCACCGGAGGGCGGCATCCTGGCCACTCCACATGAAATCTCGGGAGCTTGGCAGAGGAGACAGAGGCTCTGCCTGGCTGGTTTTGAGGGTGGGAAGAGATATATTTAGACTCTTTCTGCTTTATGGGGTTGATGCATCCTTCTCCCTGTTTCTCCCCACAAGGGCCCCGGCAACCTGGGCAGAGCTTAATTCTTTCCTGTGCTGATGGTATTCCCAGGCATTGTCTGAAGAGCACTTTGGCTTTGGTGACGTGGCTCTTGCCACACTGACAGAGTGTGTCATGGGAACAACTCATGCTCGTTCCTAGAAGAGCTAGTCTGGATGTGTGTGTTTTCCAGTAAGATGGAGTGAGGCGTCCCATGAAGGGAGGAGCACAGCCGTGGGAATTCCAGTCGGCCCCCGCCCTGCCGTCCCATTGCTCCTTGGCTGCCCCGTTGGTATCTTTGTGGATAACATGGTGTATGTTTTACTTGGGTGGATGTCATGATGTTTGCTTCTGCTGGTACAGACTAGTAGATTTAGGTGATCCGGCCTGTGTGAAGCCCAGAAAGGCCCCCTGATTGTTTCAGTTTAAATGTTGTAGATTTACGTCACCCAGTAGGGAAGCCACTAGCCATACATGTATTCCTATTTGAGTTTAAGTTTAAATTCAAATGATCAAAGTAAAAGTTTACACCTAGTTCCTCAGCCATACTAGCCACATTTCAAGTAATACACACTCGGGGCTGGTGGCCACTGCATTGAGGCAGATCACAGAATGTTTCCACGTTAGCAGAAAGCGCCATTCGTAGCACTGTAAATCTACAAGGTCTTCAGAAAGTTCATGGAAAACATATCTTATGAAAAAAATCATACATCTCTTTTTGCAGGGCACCAAATTTAACTCTTTAATTCCATTTCCCATGAACTTCTCGAAGTCCCCGCCTTCTTACTCAAAGACTGGTCAGTGTGGGGAGAGAGCATTGGTGGTAAACAAGGAGAAAGTAACCATTGCCAGCTTTACCTCATATTCTTTCACGGTGGAACACTTCCCTCACTTCAGGGAAAGCGTGGAAGTTCTCTGTATTCATGCATCCCATTAGAAGGTTGACCCCAGAACGCTCTCAATTGTTCAGCCACTTTTTAACACACTGTCAGGGCCACAAAGTCCCCGATGCTTTATGAAGGAATGGCTCCTTTCTTCTGGGAAGTCCCTGTGGGGAACAGTGCATGATTAGAAACTTGCATCCCAATTTGTGACTTCTGAGTTAGTGAGAAAGTAAGCCTTACCACCCTTGGCTTGCCATTTGTGGTTCTACTAAAAAAAGAAGATCGAAACCCTTTGATGAAACATAAGGTTTTCTAGAATGTTCTGCAAGCTCTTCTGATTTGCTTGGTGTGGAATCTTTGCTGGGGAGCTAAGACTCAGGCAGGCAAGGTGAGGGGGCCGAGCCCAGGGCACAGATTTAAGGAGGCACATACACTGAGGTGCTGATCTTGTACTTGTGAGGGCCTAAGAGTGAGTGTCTCCTTAAATTTTGCACCTTATGTGCCTGGCTTGCCTCACCCTTGCTCCATTTAGGGGGTCTCTTTAGACCCATTTACCACTCACCTGGCAGGCTTGCTGCATGTTCAGGAATTCTGGACCCATACATGTGTAACTTTTTATTTTATGATTTCTTATTTACATTTAATCATTGTACATCCTTGTAATGTACAATATGGTTGTTAAAGCATGCATGCAGTGTGTGACAATCAAATTAAAGATATTACCACATAGAGACCAGCAGTTGGCATAATGGCTGTTGCTGGACTCCCATGTAGTTGACCACGGTTCGAGTCCCAGACCTGGTGGCTTAAACTCATGCCGGGTGCATGTGTGTGCGTGCCCAAGATCCTGAGAGGAGGATGAAGGAGAAGGGTTTGCAGTGTGGCCATCTCCCCCGGGGGGATGATTTCTCGCTCGCTCTCTGGCAAGTGCACATGCCCTATAATGAAAACTTCTCCAAAGGGGGAAAAAAAAGATATTACCAACTAAGGCCAGCAGGTGGTGCAGAAGTTAAAGCAGCAGGATCCCACATGACTGACTACAGGGCTCAAATCCTAGACCCAGCGTCTTGAAAAATATGCCAGGCCTGTGTGTGAGTGCCCAAAATCCCAAGAGGAGAGTAGAGGAGAAGGGATTGTGGTGTGGCTACCCCCGTGGAGAGTTATTTATTTTCCTTCTCCCTTGCTCTCTCTTTGTTTCTCTCTCCAGGGAGCACATGCACCCTACAGTAAAAACTAAAAAAAAAGAGTGAGAGAGAGACGATATTATCATATATATAATTTTCAACAGAGAACTTCACATTCTTATTTTATTTTTTGGAGAGGTTTTTGCTATAGGGCGTGTGCGCTCACCAGAAAGAGAGAGAGAGAGACAAAGAGGCAGAAAGCGAGAAATCACCCCCCAGGGGGAATGGCCACGCCACAATCCCTTCTCCTTCATTTTCCTCTCGAGATCTTGGGCACGCATGCACACGTGCCTGGCGTTTGTTTAAGCCACCGGGTCTGGGGCTTGAACCACGGTCGACTACATGGGAGTCCAGCGACATAGCCATTATGCTAACTGCTGATCCCGAGAACTTTACATTCTTGTGTCTATTCAGTATCGTTTCCCCAGTTCCCTCTTTCTGCCCCTTACTGTCCACCCACTTCCTATGCAGTCCCTGGTATCTGTACTTGCCCTCCCCACTGTTATATCTGTGGCCCTTTAAATGTGCCAGATACACTGTGGGATTTTACTCAGCCATGAAGAACATGCATAACTCTTGCAGATACATTCCCATGCAGCATCTGCACCCCAGCCAGACTGAACTCCTCAGGTGGGACGGGGCCTCTTTGCTCTCTGTATGTCCAGCCCAGAGCGGAGGACAAACACTAATAAATCAGCGAGCAGAGCAGCCCACCGGGGACCAGCTCAGTGATTTGGAGAGGCAAGAACCCTCACGACCTTGACTTTTCCCCTTAGAGTTCAGAGAACAGACACGGTAACCTGCAAAGCTGCAGGGGTCTGCACAGCTGCGTTCTCTCTGCACATGGTGAAGTGCAGGGCCCCCTGTTGGTGTGGCGCTGGGTGAGCACCGTGTCTTCCACCTGTTTTTCCCAGAACTCTTTCACGCGCAGCATCAGGTTGGGAAGCTCGGCCCCTGGTGATGGCTCTCCCTTCTTGTCCCCTGCTTGTTCCCGAGTCCACATCACACGTCATGCTGCAGCATCTGTGCCACAGCCAGATTGTCCTAGGAGTGCACGGGTGGGCCTGGACAGACTGTGGTTAGGGGAGGTGTCAGATAAGGAAGCGACCGCCTGTCTTACATACGTCTCTCTGCTTCCCACAGAGCGTACTGAAGAAGAGGGACCAAGTTCAAGCAGAGTATGAAGCCAAACTGGAAGCTGTGGCTCTGAAAAAGGAAGACCGCCCCAAGGTCAGAGACTCCACCTGGCAAGGGATGGGCTGCTGTGGGACGGAGCTGCCATTTCCCCACCAGTGCTAACTAAGTCAGTTCTTGTCCTAAGAGTGGTATGACTAATGGTGGCCCATGCCAGGACCCATCGTGGGCTGTGTTAATGTTATTATTTTCCTATTTTTGCTTTCTTCTGTGTCTTTTTTTTTTTTTAGAATTATTTTATTATTATTATTATTATTCAATTTGCCATAGAGCACATACACTCACCAGAGAAAGAAAGAGAAAGTGAAAGTGAGAACACAAGCTGCCAGGTCTGAGTCTTGAACTGTAGTCACCCATGTGGGAGTCCAGTGTTTTAACCACCACACCACCTGCTGTTGCCCCTTCTATGTCTTATTTCTGAACATTCCTAGTGTATACTTGGAATAGAGGCTCATAATTACAGAAGTGGACCTGTCATATTGGTCACTTCTTTTATTGCCTTTCTCTTCCCCTAACCAGGATTGAAAACGAGTTAATTGGGGGGCCAGCAGGTGGTGTGGTAGTTAAGACCCTGGACTCTCACGTGGCCAGCCGCAATTCCATTCCCAGACCTGGCAGCTTGAAAATCACTCTCTCGGGACAAAATCCTGAGGAGAGTGAGTGGAGAAGAGATTGTGGTGTGGGGGGTGATTTCTCACTTTCTCTCTCTCTGTCTCTCCTGCGAACATATGTGCCCTATGGCAAAAACCTAAAACACAGGATTAAGGAGTAGTGAGTCTGCAAGTGATCACAGTGAGCTGAGCACTCGCTCTCCCTACCCACCTATCCACATCTAACCTCACCTGGTCTATACCACGGTAATGCAGGTTAGCTCCTAGTATTACTCCCACCTGAGACATGAGCAAAGCAAGGCCCAAGATCACATAGTTAGCACCTGAGAGCTAGGATCCCACCCTCCATCTGCCTTTAGAATCTCGCCACTTAACATTTTGTTCCTCTGCCTTTTTTTTTGTTGTTTTTTAACTGCCAGAGGGCGTGTGCGCTTGCCAGAAAAGAGAGACAGAGACAGGGGGGAGAAAGAAACACCCAGTGGGGCATGATCGTGCACAAGCCTTTCTCCATTCTGTCAGGATGTAGGGCTTGCGTGGACATGTTCCTGGCATGTTTTTCAAACCACTGGAGCTGGGACTTGAACCATGATTGGCCATGTGAGATCTGGCTCCCCCAACCGATAGGCTAAAGTACTAGCCTTCCTCTATGTCTATTTTGTTCACAATTGGAAGGTATTTTTGTTTTCAAGGAAGGGGTGGAGGTGGGAGCAAGTTTCAGGGAAATAGTCGGACATCAGAGCTCTTGGGCTTTTTGTTTTCTGTTTTTCTGCCCCTGCCTTGGATCTCGGCTTGCTGGAAAGGAACCAGCTTTGGGAATCTAAAACCTGCAGCTCAGAAATGGCACACCCTGGTTTTATAGAGACTATGCTGTAGCTTCATAGAGCACTTCTATTTAATGTTAATTGTTTCGCATGGTCACTGGAGTAGTCATCTAGGCCCAGAGGGAAGGCGTCGTGCTTTCCCATTTCATGGGCTGGAAGCCGCTCACCAGATCGCTCGTCTGTGTGATGCCAAACGTCCGTACGTGTGGTGTGCTGTACCCAGCAGGTGGGCAGTGCAGGCTTGGGGTGCTGCCCGGCTGTCACCATTGTGATCCAGCCGTGCGGTGAGGGCTGACTGCAGCGTAGGGGAAGTCTGATGATAAGGGTCGGGACTCTTGTCTTTGGTCCAGTGTCCACAGCTGGGACCCTTCTTTGTGTTCCTCTGCCACCAGCCTCAGCCCTCTTCCCTCCTGCGTGCCCCGAGAGAGGCCAGGTGCTCATGCAGCGTGTGCACAGCTGCCCTGTCTTCCAGCCGTCTGGGGTGTTGTCTAGTCCCTCACTGTCCCTGTTGTATTCTGGAACATGGTTCCATCTGCTGAGCCCATGTCTTAGTCTCATATGAAGAGGTGACGTGGAATGCTGTGTTTATGTATGTTTTAAATGTCCCTCTAGCACTGTAAATGTAAGTGTAGAAGTCCTTTGACAAAAAGGCAGCTATTGCGAATGTGGAAAGTAAAAAGTCTAACTCAGAGAAACAGCGAGTGGAAGGGTTGCCGAGAACTGAGTGGGGAGATGTTGGTCCGAGGTACAAATGTGGAAAGTAAAAAGTCTAACTCAGAGAAGCAGCGAGTGGAAGGGTTGCCGAGAACTGAGTGGGGAGAGGGGGATGGGGAGATGTTGGTCGAGGTACAAGCTTGCAGTTAGAAGATGAACGAGTTCTGGGACCTAATCTATGGCATGGGTGGTGATGGAGGTGTTCATTAATTTAGTTGTAGTGATCATTATGCAAAGTGCATGTTTGTGAAGTCATGTTGTATACCTTGAATACAAGGGGTCTTCAAGAAGTTCATGGAAAATGCGTATTACGAAAAATACCGACACGGATTTCAAAAGGTTTTTGTTTTGCCACAAAATAATCTGGTTCTTTAGTTCCATTTTTTCCACACACTTTTTGAAGCCCCCTGTGTATACAGCCTTTATTTGTGAATTAAATGTTAAAGAAATGAGAAAGTCACTTTTTCCGGCTAGGGAGAGCTAACAGGTTCTACTGCTGGCGTAGTTTGGAAACTGAGGCTCCTGCATTTTAAAAATGTGTCACTTGGGGCCAGCAGGTGGCATAGCAGTTACATCACTGGGCTCCCACACGGTCCACTCTGATTTGAGTCCCAGACCCAGTGGCTTGAAACTCACGCTGAGTGTGCGTGTGCATGTGGCCAACATCCCAAGAGGATAGTGGAGGAGAAGGGACTGTGGCGTGGCCATCCTTTGGGGAGTAATTTCTCATTTTCTGTCTCTCTGTCTCTATCTAAACATTGAGTGCACAACACCCTCTACCAAAAATCTCTCTCTCAAAAGAAGAAATATTTGGGAGTAGCAGATGACTGTCGCTGAGTCTCACATAGTTCACCGTGGTTCCAGTTGAACCAGGGGACTTAAAAAGATGAAAAATACCTATCTGGGGACCAGCAGAAAGTGTAAGGGCTATGCCGCTGGACCCCCATATAGTCAGCCATGGTTCAAGTCCCAGACTCGGTGGCTTAAACTCACGCCGGGCACATGTTCATGCGTGCCCAAGATCCTGAGAGGAGAATGGAGGAGAAGGGATTGCAGAAGGGATAGCCATCCCCCTGGGGGGTGATTTCTCGCTTTCTGTCTCTCTGTCTCTGTCTGTCTGGCGAGTGCACACACCCTGTTGCAAAAACCTCTGCAAAAAAAAAAAAAGAAAGAAAAAGAAATACCTATCTCTGTCTCTCTCTTTTCTTCTTTCTCTCTCATAAAAATGTGTTACTTAAATTGTGCTGTCAGCAGTGTACATGCTCAGCACCAGATACAAACTTTTTTTAAAAAGGAATTATTTACCTTTATTTATTATTTCTAATTTGCTATATGGCATGCACACTCACCAGAGAGAGAGAGAGACAGAGAGAAAGAGAGAGAGAGAGAGAGAGCGCAAACTGCCAGATCCAGGACTTGAACCTCATTGGTCATTGGTTTGGAAGTCCAGTGCCCCAACTACCATGCCACCTGCTGGCTCTGGATATAAGCTTTTCAGAGGCTGATTTTGTCATGCAATATAGTTTAGCCTATTCTGGACAATTTCTTTCCAAATTAGGAACCATGGTCGGATTATGCATTTTAGGTTGAATTAAGTCTTACCTGTGCCCTGGGTTGCCAGTTGCCAGAAGCTCACAATAGCCCTGGAGCCACCTGGGGCAACGGTGTGTGCGTGTGCATGTGCCCAACAGAACCCCACAGAACCACCCAGCAGAGCTGCAGAGGCTCCTGGCCTCATGGTCTTGCTGGTCTGCTCACTCTTCTTTTCCTTCACAGTGGTGGTTGAAATCTTCCTGTTGCTTCCATTCACCCCTTTCCAATATCATGCACCACCATGGCTCATCCTTTGGCCACAGAAATTCTTACTTGAGGGCAAGGATTTTTTTCAAGTCAGTGAGGATAATTAGTAGGCCCTAAACACATCTGCATTCTTTTTTTTTTTTTTTTTTTTGAGAAGTTTTTGCTACAGGGTATGTACGCTCGCCAGAGAGACAGAAAATGAGAAATCACCCCCTAGGGGGGATGGCCGTGCCGCAATCCCTTCTCCTCCACTCTCCTCTTAGGATCTTGGGCACACACACACAACACCTGATGTGAGTTTAAGCCTCCAGGTCTAGGACTTGAACCGCGATCGACTACATGGGAGTTGCAGTGACATCGCCATCACGCCAACTGCTGGTCTCACATGTGCATTCTATTAATACACCAACAGTGGGTTGGCTGTTTCGTCCTTCTTTCTAGTTGGATGTCCAGCCATGCCAACATGAATTTAAAGACAAAACAGAGGCTGTAGTGATGACGAACCAGTGAGTGCAATTAACACTGGGGGCCACAGAGGCTACATAGCCAATTTCTGATCAAAATCTAGTTTTGGATCTGGGGCAGCTGCCACCATGGCAGGCAGAGGAGGGCTCCATTGGCAGCCTGTCCAAGTCTGATAAGGGTTGGTAGAAAAAGCATAGGACTTAATCAGATATCCCTGGGTTCAAAGCCCAGCTGTGTCCCCTAGCTTGGCGTAGTTTGCTCATTAGCTTCACGGGCCTCGGTTGCCTCCTTCATGAAGTGCTCAGCGCAGTGTCTGACGCAGTCACAGAGGCTCAGTCAGGAGCCTCTGGTGTCTGTACTGGCTACAGGAGGACATGCTGACGTTGTTTCCTAGGTTTGTTGCCACTTACATTTAAAAAAAATCATTTTTTGTTCTTTTCTGGCCATAGGGTTTTAGACATTGTTTCCCTATGTCTGCAAGCTTCCTCCCTCCCCACATACCTGTCCTCCCTGACAGCCCACCAGTGGGTAGATAAGCACCTAGGGAGTGAGCGTGCTTTGTTTGACGTGATCTGGAGCTCACAGGGCCAGAGTTGCTGTCGATGAGATAAAAGCCAGGGCAGCA